AAAAAAAAAATTAACTCAAAAGTATTTGTTTCACTAAACCACAAAAATAAAGCATTTGAAATAGGAGTAATAGAATAAAGTAAGCTGTGTCTCCATATTCTGAAGATGGAAAACGAAAACGACTGAAATTATATGTCATTTGGGGGAAAAGAGATAAAAGGAGTCTGCGGGAGCAGTTAAAATATTAGAAAGTGAAAGTTGATAAATATATGTATGATACTTTCTAATGTTTCCCCACTCCAGTGGATCCTACATTCAAATAATTCAGTAGCGTAACACATCATCACATATCTTAAAGGAATTATTTACTAATTGCTTTTTATAACTTTTCGAATACTAACGATTTGATGGTGCCAAAAGTAGTTTTCTTGTGACGCCCCATGACGGAGGGCGGGTAGGACGCCTAGGACCTGTAAGTTTCTAGGTTGGCAAGTTTTTTAAAAAGAAGTTTACATGTCACGTTTGGCAAATCTCACATCGGAATGAGAGAGGAGAGTGAAAAGCTTTATAAGACATGACACAAGTCAAATCCCATAGCGGAATAGTACGCGTGCTTTTCGGGTCAATGATGGCGTAGCCCAAGGGACAAATCTGTAAAGTCTATTGGGTCAAAGCGGACAATATGTGCAATGGACTTAATCTTATTTTCTCTTAATTGCAATTTCTTTTGTCTGTTCTCTCTTCTTTTTTGTGTAACAAGTACCAATATTAATCTTCAATCTTTCTGTCGTTGTGGATTTAATTTACCGTCAGACTTTTCTATAACAACATCGCTATATAATAACCATTCACTATAGCCAAGTTATTTATGGAATAATTTTCTTGGTATGTTATAATATATGTTCTCTATAACAGCACTTCGCTATAACAGTCAAAAAATTCGGAACAAATGAGGCTGTTATAGAGAGGTTTGACTGTATAACAGTCATTCACTATAAAAGTCAAGTTTTTCTCCGAACCAATTTTTGTATTATATTATAATATATGTCCTCTATAACAACACTTCACTATAGCAGCCAAATAAATATCGAAACAAATGAGATTGTTATAGAGAAATTTGACTTTGTATCTTTTTTAACTCTAAAAATGAAAGTCATTGCCCGTCTGGCAAGGTTCATTCAAAAATTAAGAGCAGTAAAGGCTTTTAATAAGAGTATTTTCCTCGGGGGTATTATCACTTTTAGCATACGTTAGAAACTATTTATATTTGGTAGCCGAAAAAGTGTAACTTATATAATTTTTGTATATAACATACATAATATATGTTCAGGCTAAAAAATTTATATTTCAAAAAGTAAAAAAGTTAAACAAAAGCGCTCTCGCTTGTGCGTTCCCTGCTTTTATTTGGGTGACCAACTGATCCTTTAATAATTGACTGTACAGCCAATAGACCGTTAAGAACGGCAATGAGTCACCCCAATGTCTCTCTCTGGCACCAGCTTTATGGATCTTCTTATTTTTCTTTTTCATCTTTTCTTGCAATTTGACTAGATTCTCATCATCAAAGAAAGGCCATTGTTTTGGTCTCGTGGATACTGGCTTTGGGACCAGACTTATCTGGAGTGGAGTCTCATTTTGTGAGTAAAACGCTCTTAAAGCAACTCCATTTACAGAACTCAAACCTACTGTTGGGAAAAACACTCTCAAGGCGACTCCATTCACAAAACTAAAAAAATATTGGGAAAAAAGTTATCTAGAATATCGTAAATGGCGAATCTTCCACGACTCACCAACAAATTTTAAAGTTATAGTGACTCATCTATTCCCTGCGATTGATTAGTGCACCTTTTTTTTCTTTTATTTTGGGGGATAACATTCATGCTATTGCTTAATTAAAACATCTTCCAATCAGGCAATCACTATCCTTAAATTTGAAAGCCTAATAAGTTATTATACGTTAATTGAAGTATCATGTGATAATGTTGCATAATTCCCCTTTGTTTCTTAATTTGATTTTCAAGTTCAGGTTATCAACCCGAAGCAGAAACCACAACTTTTCCTTCCTAGTTTAACTTAAACTTTACGCAAATGATGAATATGATTTATAATTATCAGGTTCGACAAGGAAAATAGTTACTGGTGAATAGTCATGTGACTGGCCCGG